AGAAGGGCAATTCAATAGAGGGCCAGGGAAATCTGGCGGCAGATTTGGCAGAAAAGCAGGCTGCCATTGGATAATCACTTCCTGTAGCCCAAGCCTTGCTCAGATACAGAACTAAAATGGGCTCAATCAGAAGGGGCTACAGAACAAAATGGATGGCAAATTTTACCAAGAGGAAAGGTGTTCCTCCCTGAGGCTGTAGGATATTTTATGATTGAAGAACTATACAGCTGCACTCATTTAGGAAACACAGCTATGGCAGAGCTGTTTGGCTGCCACTTCTGTATTTCTAAACTTTGGATTTTGTGCACCTCTGTGGCTAGCAGGTGTGCACTTTGTGCTCACAAAAATCCAGTTTCTCATCCACGGCAACAGCTTGGAGTTCAGAGACAAGGCACACAGCCCTTTGAGAACATCAAGGTGGACTTTAGTAAAATTAAACCTGCTAGTGGAAACAAAAAATATTTGTTGGTTCTCACCTGTACATACTTGGGCTAGATAGAGGCCATTCCCATGAGTGCTGAGATATCCAGAGAGATGGTAAAGGCCCTAATGCAGTTAATCATTCCCCAGTACAGGCTCCCCATGATGGTAGGTTCAGATAATGGACCTGCTTTCATGGGTCGAGTGGTCCAGAGCATTTCTGCAGCTTTAGAACTAAAATGGAAGCTAGACACAGTCTATCAGCCTCAGAGTTTTAGTCTGGTGGAGAGACAAAACCGAAATTTAAAGATCACCATAGCCAAGCCATGCCAAGAGACTCAGACAAACTGGGTGACTTTGCTTCCAATGGCTCTGCTGTGATCTCGCTGTACCCCTTACAGGGATGGGCTCACTCCATTTGGGATCATGTTTGGGATTCCTCCCCTACTTTTGCTTATTCTGGAAGGACTATATATGTCCTGAGAGAGGAAGTTATGTCCTTGAGGGGGGGATGATAAGGCAAGAGAGACTCCATTTTCTTTTTGTAGCTGCATTTTAAAAGATCACTTAGACTTTAGATGAACTCAGTCCTCACATCTCCCTTTTAGCTAATCATAAAACCATAAAAGAAGGAAAAAGTCTTTTATCTAGAGGAACCAATAGATAAAACAAAACTGTGAGTAAGCTAAGATTAACTGCATCCTGCCTAGAACAATTAAGAAATGTAAATCTTATGGCCTCTTGTCAGAAACCCTTGGAATGTGGCTACTGTGGAAACCAAAATGGTATTTGAACTGGAAGCAAAGTCCAGGTCAGGGCCAACTTTCTGTTTTCCTGACTGTACGTCAGAGTGTTTGTCTCTGGCTCCAATAAAGCTTTATTTTTTTTTCCTATATTTGGTCTCTTGTGGGTGCTTTCTCACTACATTTTGACATAACATTTCCAGAAAATGTTTATAGATCCTCATCTACATCAATGTTTACCAGAGCATATGGTTGTAAGCAAGTGAAGCAACTGAACTACCAAACTGCATACAAAAATATAAAATGATGCAGTTTGATTTTTATTGTTTTTCTTTCTAAATTTCAAAACAATTTAAGGCTTACAAAAACTGCAAAATTTGTCAGGCATGGTGGTTGGTACATGCCTGCCCATAATCCCAGCACTTGGGAGGCTGAGGCAGGATTGCCACAAGTTCCAGGCTAATCTGTGCTACATAGTGAGTTTAAGGTAAGCCTGGACTAACAAGACCGTCTCAAAATACATTAAAAATTGCAAAATTATATAAAGAATTTCTGAGTACACTCACCTATTTTTCACCAGTGTTAACATTTTAAGAAGTTATACTGCACTTTTAATACCAGACCACTGACATTTATACAATAGTCATGACCAAACTTCAGACCCTATGCAGATTTTACTAGCTTTTGCAATTTTTATATGTTATTAGTACATGTTTACAGTACATAATGATTACATTTCTTGTGGGGATTTGACTCATGTTTGTGACACACCTTAATTCTTTTTACATCCCCTTCCCAGCTGTTCCCTCTATCTCCTTCACCCCTCTCTCAATGTCTTGTTCCCTTTCCCTTTTTCAAAATATATATCTCTCTATTTTCCATTTTTCCTTTGCTCTTCATTTATATTTTAAGTTTTTCATAGAAGAGAAAAAATGTGATATTTCAGCTTGTGTTTGATTTACTTCTCTTAATATTATGGCCTCAAGGTGCATCCATTTTCCTACAATGGACTTATTTACCTTCTTTATGACAGAATAATACTCCTTTGTGTATAAATTTTCTTTATCCATTCATCTTTTGATGGCTGACCAAGCTTTATATATTACGAATTGAGCTGCAGTAAACATGAGTAACTATGTATCACTGTACTATGATATATTTAACTCTTTTAGGAAGATTCCTAGAAGTGGAATAGCTGGATTGAATAGAATGTGACATATCATATATAGAGAGAAAAAGGATGCCATAATTTAATCCCAGAAACTTAAAGAAGATAATAGTGGCAAAACTGTCTTGAATAGGGAGGGATGAGTTTTTAAGGTTCACTCTTTACTCTGATGACAAGGATAGAAATTTAGAAATTTATGCAATATTTATTTTTTATGAGCTACCTCCAACAATGTTAAGAAATGGACAATTTTACTCCACATTTACATTCTTTTTTCTACCCTAAGAATTTTGAGGATAGCCAAATATTTAAATTCTCATGTCCCTCTTCATCTTTGAAGACAGGAATAAATTGGGCAAGCCTTTTCTTGTAAGAGCTAAAGTGCTATATGATTCAATATTTTCATAATTTTGGACTCTGTACTGATTTTTTATTTTGTGTTTTGTTTTACAGGGCTAAAACTTAGACTCAGGATTTTATATATGCTAGACAAGTGCTCTATCACCTAGCTACACATATAACATTAGAGTACTTTACATTTTATTTTTGATAACCCTTTTGAAGAAACTCTTAACTAAGAGAAGTTTTTCTTGATCTCTGCTAGCATAGCTGAAGATCTCTTGAAAAGTTCAATTAAAATAAAGTTTGTCATCCTCTTTTTACCCAAGATAATAAGTTTCAATCACTGAATTTTTCTGCACTCACAGGCATACATTAAGAGTCACAAGTATACTGCATATATTTTGCTTCTCTCCAAAAAATTAATAATGTGCATGCTGATTCTGTATTTTTTGACATGCTCAGATCATTTCATGTGAATTTATGTCTAATCCATTGAACTTTATGTCTAGGTTCTTCTCAATTGTACAAAAAGTTTTTAAATTTAATCAAACCCAGAAAATTTTTAACTTCTTGAAATTATAGTTAATTATTTGAGGACTATCATAGATATTTATCTTTATGATTTTATCAAATACTTCCATGTGATCAATTCATTGACTATTCCAAGTTTAAACAGTAGGCTTTATTTTTCTTTGATTCATCCTTCATGAATAGCTCTAAAAATGATGTACTATTTTATAATGCTACCAGAAGTGACATATTTCAACCTACAGGCACTCAACAATGCGCAATGAAATGAAGGATAATTCCTGGTATTTCCCTTCAACTTTCTTCAAATTTTAATTCAGGCATAGTAAAATTTTCAAAGCTTGTGGTATGTTCTTGGCAACAGTATTTTCAGGAGTGATAGCAACAATAATGAAAGTCATAACTATCATGCACACAGTCCCATTAAGTCCTTGAGGCTGTTGTCAATGTCTTTTTATTTCATTGATGTAGTTGAATTTATATGTTTATCATAACTTTTAATAACTCACAACTTATAAATATAATACCTTAGAACATGAATATTTTGACATCAATTTGCTGTATATTGGTTCTTTAAATACATACATATGTATTTTCACTGCTTCACCTAAGGTACTCTGGGCGTGCAACTGGTTGTCTTGTCAAGCCACACCTCAGTAATGATAGTTGAATTTTCCAGACTTCCTACACTTCTTACTCCTTTGTGCTACTACACTTTCCAAACTGGAGAGATTGGAAGACTGGCTTTAGGATGCTTCCATCAATTTGTTTTAAACTTTAGTGTATCTTGTAAAAATTATCCAGATGATTTACTACATTAAAAGAAAGGCATACCTTGACAGCAGTCTATATTTTCAGAGTTGACAAAGCTCAATTAACACACTATTAATCTGTCCTTCTTTAAGGAATGATTTTATTACCAACTATGTCCATCTGATTTAGGGGGTAATTTCCACTCATATACAATGTCTAGAAAGATTAAAATAAACTGAGTCTGTGATCATTATCATTTCTTGAATCTTTTCCTGTTCCATTTTTCTAAAACAAAAACTGAAACAAAACTGAATTTTCCCTGAAACTTCATAGAGAATAATCACAACTATTTTTCACAGCCCAAAGTATGGGCAGAGAGAATACACAATGAAATCATGATAGAGCCAAAGACTAGGCCATAGAGAGGTAAAATCAAGGCAGTCTAATACTAAAATTGAAAACCTATATTTTTTTCTTAAAATTGACTAAGAGCATAGAAAAGAGCAATTGGGAAATATGGTACATCTCTTGAATGATTTTATTGAGGTTTCTAAATACACACTTTCATTCTAATATATGTAATGAGCCAGTGAAGCAATTATAAGGAGTAAGAGGGGAAGAGCAATGCCAGAGGAAAATCATGAAGAAAAATGTAAGAGTCATCTACTCTAATAGAAGTAGACTTTGTCAGTTAATGCAAACTGGTGAGAGTGGCAGAAATATAAAATTTTAGAAATTGATAAATGGATAGAGTGCATTTTGAAGTTACTGAAAATACCGAGGAATACTGTGGAAAAGCAGTGGAGGGGTGAAAAATGCGGGAGATGGGGTTGGGGGAGGGGCTGTTTAGGCACAACGTAGGCAGGATCTGAGGTCACAGAGCCAGGAGTCTCAGTGGTTAGCAACAGTATTTAGCTGCTGGGGAAGCAGCACATGAGCTTTCCCTTTGGAAAACTTCCCATGGCTTCATTGGCTCTCCCAGACCTACTTTAGTCCTACTCCAATAGTCCCTTATTTCCAAGACACTGAAGGTAGGAGTTGGGAACATGGAGGACGCTCTTGCCTCACCTGAGAACAAGAGACGGAAGAAAGGCCACCTACCAGCCGAGTCCGAGAAGATTCTCCGCGACTGGTTCTATGAGCACCAGTTTAAGGCCTATCCATCAGAGGCGGACAAACGAATGCTGTCCGAGAAGACCAATTTACCTTTTCTGCAGATTTTCAATTGGTTTGTGAACACCCGCCAACAGGTTCTCGCGGAAAGGCTGAAAGAGGATGTAAATGACTCCAAACACCAAAAAGACAAGGATACTGATGAAACTCAACTTCCAAACACTGATTCTTCTTTTCTGGTCAAGTCAGGACCTGTGGATCCAGACAAAGTTCAATGCCGTCCCCTGTCTCCACTGCTGAGAGGCCGCGACTCAGGAAAGAACCTACCAGGTCCAGAAACTTCCTCGAGCCAGAAGTGCATCCTAAAAGCCCCGCTGAAGGAAGTGGTGGAGATTTCCACCAGTGAGCCCATGTCTTTTCCAGAATCTGTGCAGCCAGAGGAATACAAAGACTTCAGCAACTTCTACCTCCTGGTCGATGTAGCTGTACAAAGGGCAGCCGAACTGGAGTTGCAGGAGAAGCAAGAACATGATGCATGAATTCTCCCAAAGAAAAGACCAAGTAGTCAATCCATTGACGACTGTAGTATGTTTGTTTGTGCTTACGTGAACTGAATGATATGTTATCCTTTTACAGAGACGTTTTTTATTCCAGGACTTTAATGAAAACCATTGCTCAAGATTGGAACTCATTTTTGCAAGATATGTCAATGCTTCCAGGTTGAAGATACTAGCCATCATGATTAAGAATTTGATACATTTTTCTCTTTGTTAATCTTTCATCTGAATTTAAACTCTTCATTCAAACTAATATATCTGAGATTATGCACTATGATGAGTCTTTGCAAAAAGTTGTTTTTCACTTTTCTTGCAAAGTTTCTTTTTTCCAGAGCTTATGCAGATACCAATTAACACTCTTCCTCTCTCTGTAAACTTCTATATGTGTGATTATGACTGATATGAAAGAACAGTTCAATAAAAAGTGAATATAAAACAAGTACTTTAGTTTTAATTGGGGAATTTGTGGGAAACTTGCAAGTATACATTTCCTTTTATATCGTTTAATGAGTCATTTCCACAGAAGTAAAGCATGAGAACCAAAGTACATTAAATTCATCACACTTTTCATGGAAGTGTAAACATTTTTGAGGGGGACAGATATCAAGTCTGCAGTCAAGAAAATTCTAAACTGTGGGGCTTTTTGTTGGTTAATGGTTTTAAAAGAACAATTTCTATTAATTTTAGTTTTCTGCATCAAAACAAAATAGAAGCCACAACAAATTCCTTGAAGAAATCAGAAGATAATTTAAAAGAGAAAAATCAGTTTATAGCATGTTAATTAAAAGTAAATGGAAATGTTCTACTGTTTTGTTTTGCATACAAGTGCATTGATTATTTAACTTCTAAAAATATTTTGAATTTGTAAGATTTGATGAGAATGCAAAAACTTTAGTGCAAGTGCCACACTGAAATAATCCTTTTGTCTTATAAAGATCCTTTTACCTACTTTGTCAAGTAGGCGCAGATTTTCAGTGGTAACAGAAAGTTATTTAGAAAACTAAAATTACACTGTTCTGATTTTATGGGCTAAAACTTGTGTAACATGGGATTAGAAATGGAATGGTAGCCTCAATTTCTACTGCTGTTTTGAAGTGATATAATGCTAATATCTATATCTAGTCTTTATTTTTTTATATTATTATAAGGCAGAGGACGGTACACAAAAAGAATAGGGACCTCATTAGATCTTCTAGCTAATCTTGACTAGAGGGAGTTAAAAACACAAACACAATTTACTGGAGAAATTCTCCTGGGAAACAGATCAAAGATGGGGGTAGAAAGAAGAAAAAACAAATAAAGAAAGACACCAAATGACTTAGGACTTGCACAGAGAGAACAGAGAATGAGCTGACAGGCACAGTACAGGGAGACCCAAGTGCACAAAGCCAAGATGAGATAGCCATCCCTATCCATCTTCCCTATAAAGGCAGCTGGGGACAAAGGCCCACAGGTCCTCTATCTTTTGGGAGCCTCCGAGTTGATTTTTCTTATCACAGTAACTGTCTTATCCTTTCTCTTCCTTCCTTTTCCCTTTACAAATAAAATGTCTTCCTTTCTTTAAATACTGTCCCTCTAAATTTTTCTTGGGGCTGGGGATTTAGCTCAGCGGCAAAAGCGCCTGCCTGGCAAGCGCAAGGTCGTGAGCTCGGTTCCCAGTACCGGAGAAAAACCCAAAAAAAAAAACAAAACAAACAAACAAAAAAAAAATAAATAAATTTTTCTTGGTGCTGAGTTTACAATCCCAGCGGGCTTCTTGAACAGCAGAGTAGTAGTGCTCGTTCCCTAGATTCAGCATCCTCAGTTACCTAAGCAAGAGCCAAATGTGATATTACTATGTAATTTTTGGCAATATTATGTATGAGATGCCCTTTGTTATTTAAGCATCTTAAGAAAGAATAGTTGCAGGTAATGACTTTGTATAGGTTTATATTTTATCAAGAAGTAAATAGATATATATTCTCAAACTGTTATTCCTGATATAGACTAAATAGAATGCAGTTCAAGAGTCTAAGGTATACGTGGACTCTGGGTGAGTTAAAAGGAAAAACAATAATATTAATTGTAACTTTATTGAGTAAGATCCCTGAACACTCAAGGAAGCTCCTATATTATTTTCTTCTTTGTCTCAGGCTTTGAATAGTTTCTCAATATAGAAACACAAAAAGGTTATTTAAACAAGGAGCATGTCAACTGGATGGGAAGATTTCTGAATTCAACCTATGCATATACTATTGGAAGCTTGCTAGTTTGTCTTCTAACTTTTGTATAACAGAGGTCTTGGGACTCTCGTTCAATTGAACCATTATTGCAACTTAGTGCAGGAATGTAGAAAAGAAAGGTTTTTCTTGTCCAAGTTCTCCATCTCTCAAATCTGAGCCCTGTAGGATTATTGCAAAAAGATTATTATAGAACTGGTACTAACAGCAGTATGCTGGAAAGGCAGTGGTATTTTACAATTCTGTTGTGTACTTTGTAATTGTGGGCTGTGGGTTAGATTTGTGTTCCAGTTATAACTCTTGTGTGAGAATAATGTGACTGAATTATTCTTTTGCACTTATGAACATGTAGGATAAGCATTTTAGGTAAATTAAGAAGTACACAGGAAAAACCCTTTTTATTAATATTTTTCATGCAAGGAGATGACTCACTGTGTCATTTCTCCAAGCTTTAACCATCCTGAAGTTCTAGCTTCTGTATGGCTTTTCAAGGATTAAAGCTTTACTCTACTTCACCCTTAGACTCAGGGATGTTTCTAATGAAAGTATATTTTAGACATCTAATTGTTAGTCAGGCTCAGTAGCACAATGCTTACCTAATGTATGAAGTCCTAGGTTCCATGTATAGTACCAAGGAAAAAAAAATTCATCAATAACAGCAGCAAACGCATCAATACCACATCACTTGTGTTTTAGAACTATGCAAGTTTTGATAGGAAAAAAATAAGTTTCTAACACTGTGGTCCTGTAAAAGTCAAAAAGTGAAAGATTATGGAGGAAAAAGTTTTGCTGGTTAATCTTCTTAACAAAGATGCACTCTGTTGATATCTTTGTAGTGAGGGAAATATAGAATAGAGAGGATATTTAAATCTTTTTAAAACCATTTTGAATTGTATAAAATGATAGTTTTATAAATAATTAAAAGCTCATAATTCATCAGGTACATTAACAACAGAGCCTCATGCTCAGAATTACCTTTTCTGTATTTAAATTCCAAACATGTAGGATCCAGTATAAAAGGTCCTCAGACTTCATAAATTATTTACCTCACCTGGGTAGTACATAAGTAATTTTGTTACTATAGGTTGTGCCAAACTGCTACTGAAGTGACAGGGTGTACTATCTATGATCTGTGTCTGTGTCATGCTGCCCCATGGGTAACAAGCAAGCATTTACAGCCATTAGATTTTATAATCTCCAGTTACCTGATTTTTTGGAAATAAAAAAATGGTATATTCCAGGGGCTAATAGGATTCCAAATGTTTCAACAGCACTTGTTGTGCTGTTTGAATATATTTGAATAACCCTCTCCTGTTTAAGGGGCCATTGTCCAACCCATAAAGTTGAATCTGCTTTCTATTGTAAAGGCAAAGCAGTTTTAGGATGGCATGCAACTATGACTTCATTAAATATGTGGCTGATAGTCAATGCTATGTTTATCATTTTTAGGAACAGAGGAGATGGGTTCCAAGATTCCTTCTAATTTTTTTCCTAGTCTTTTTCCATTTTGAAAACCCATTCTATTCATTATATGTTCTTCTTTACACCCCATTTCATTGGTTTAAATTAATTTCCATTTTTGTAGCAAGTCTCTGCTCCATAAATTAACAGGGATAGGAGGCCCATAGGTAAGAAAACACCCTGTTGTTGATCATGACCATCATAAGTGAAAAGAGAGGCACCTTGTGAGACACATTTTGGAGACCCCAATCACACAAAGGAGGTAGGAGTCTAACTGGCCATGTGTGTCTAACTGGCCATGTGTGTGGTCATTGATTTAAGGCAACTATAGAGACTTCTGCACCTGTGTCTGTAAGGCCCTTTTTTTGCCTGGTGTGGTGGTGTGTGCCTGTAATCCCAGCACTCAGGAGGCTGATGCAGGAGGATCATTGTGAGTGTGAGGCCAGCCTGGGCTACAAAGTGAGCTCAAGGCCAGCCTGATCTGCAAAATGAGACCCTGTCTCAAAAAGACAAAAAAGAAAAAGAATGTAAGGCACTATTATCAGGGTTTTTCTTTATTTGCATACATTTATATTTAACAAAAGAAGGCTTAGGCAAGGCTAAAAAAACACGAACTGGGAACAGAGCTCAGCAGCACAAGCGCCTGCCTGGCAAGTGCAGTGCCCTGAGTTCGATTCCCAGTACCAAAAAAAAAAAAAAAAAAAAAAAAAAAAAAAACGAACAAGAAAAAGAAAGGATAGCAAAGCTAATTTTACAATACAGTCACCTTGTTCAAATACCCAAATATCTTGAGAGCAGGGAAAAAATCTAAATTTTACCACAAAAACCATGATCGGTAAGGCTTGGGAGAATAGTCTGTCCATGTAAGTTTAAATCATATTTACCCAAAATGAAACCCAAAGTCTCCTCTGGAGGGGGCTCCCATACTCCTGTAGGAACAGGAATGGGCCTATCTCCTCTGATGAGGGTCATTCTTTGTGCCACAGGAAGGTCTAATCTTGTGCTTTCGGTTGTTCCTCTAGTGAGGGAAATAGTGTCCCTCCTTGGAGGAATGTCTGTTGCTGTTAAAATCACTGATGGGTCTGAATTGGATAAAGCTGAGCAAGAGTCCGATTTGCATTATTTATTTCCCATTTTTGGTGGGCCCTGGGGTAAGACCTGGACTCCATTTCTTGTCACAAATATCCCATTCCTATATTATTTCTAATGGCAGTGCTTAGTGCAATGCCTTGCTTTCACATAGAGCGGGGACAGACCAGGCACAGGACCTGAGTCAACTTGGCTTGAAGTATTACCTTCTTC